AGGGAGGGCCTGGGGTCGGAAGGTGGGGCGTGGGAGCGGAGGATTGGAAGCTCACCGCCAGGGTCCCCGTCCCCGCCCCACGTCGTCACCCCCTCGTGGGGAGCACACCCTGGCGGAGGGGCAAATCCCGCACGGGCTTTGTCATGAATGAGAAGCTGCAGCCTTCAGCCCGCGGAGGGAACAGTGGGGGTCGGGGGAACACCAGGCGACCCGGCAGCAACCAGCAGACCTCCCGGCCGTGCTGGCAGCCTGAGTCCAGGGGACGCAGCCATTGCGGTCCGCCTCCACCTTCCCCTCCCCGCCCCGGCCCCCGGCTTCCTAGGGCGGCCCTAGCATCCCTGGCGCCCTTTGCCGTCCCCTCCCCGGGCCGGGATTCCCAGGATTCGGAGTCCCGGCCGCGCGGCCAGAGGCTGGCAGCTAGGCAGAGTGGGAGGGAGGAGGCTGGCCGGCCTCCGAAGTCAGCCCCAAGTTACATGTGGGAAGCGGTGGCTGTGACGCAAGTTTCCAGGGGGCCCTGGGCTCAGCTCGAAGGGAGCACCGGAGAGGCTCCGCCGTGTGCGTTGCAATGGTGAAAAAGCAGAAGCTCGGAGCGCGAACCTCAGGCCGCCTTTCCCTCGGCCGCTGCACGCCCGACCCAGCCGCGCCCCCTTCTCCCCGCGGGCCCGCCGAGTGCGCGGACCCTGCACTGGACAGTCCCCGCTGGACCCGGGGCCGCACGGCTGGGCTCCCCGCGCGGTGGCTGGCCTTTTTTTTTTTTTTTTGGCAACGCTTGCCAACCTGTCAGCTGATGGACCTCATCACCCCATAGTGGCGCATGTAGCTCGGCCGCAGCTCGCTCCATTCACGCTGCGCCACCCCCAGCCGGCCCGCGGTCCCCGGCCCCCTGTGCCCCGAGAGAGGCCTGCAGACCCCGGCTGCAGCGGGCCCCCGGGGGCCCTCGCCCCTCTCGCCCCGGCGTCGCGCCGCCTGGGGGGCGCTGCAAATAGTCCTTTGTTTACATGCAATTCCTTACTCCGCGGAAGGAGGCCGGGGGAGTGCTGAGTTTTCACCAGCTGTTTCCCGCCTTGAAACAGACATCTGATCAGCTGCAAACACACACACACACACACATACACACACACACACACGCCCGGGGAGGCAGGCCGGAGAGACCTCCCTCCCGCCCCTCCCGCCCGCCTCCCTCCCCTCGCCGCCGCCGCCGCCGCCGCCAGCATCTGGGACCGGCCGATTCTGCACCTCCGTCCGGCGCTGCCCTTTGATTCGGATTTCCATCTTGCATTCTCCGGCTGATCGCGGGACCTGGCTCGTGCAGAGGAGGGGGGCCGATCGCTATGGAGTATTTCATGGTGCCCACTCAGAAGGTGCCCTCTTTGCAACATTTCAGGAAAACAGAGAAAGAAGTGATAGGAGGGCTCTGTAGGTGTGTACTCCTTCTCCCCCCCACCCCCTTCCTACCATTGCAGCCCCCGGCCAGCCCGCCCGGGCGGGCGCGCGTGTGCGCACGCATGGCCCGCGTCGCCGACCCCGCTAGTCTTTCTTAGCTGCTGGGACCGCTGCAGCCTCGCGCACCGGGTCCGCGCCGCCCCGGGACCCTCCTCTCTTGGAGCATGGGGGCCCCGAACGGCCCTGGCCACTTTTGTCCGCTGCAGGCGGGCGAGTCGCGACGTTTGTAAATTGCAAACAGACCCACGTGGTTCTGCAGCAGTCCCGGCCATGCTTGGTGCTGGTGGCCGTCCCCCCCTCGCGCTTCCTCTTTCCCCCTCCCTCGGCGGCTTCCTTCCTCTCCTTCCTTCCTCGCGATCTTAGGGCGCCCCCATTCAAGGGGGTCTGGGGGTCCGGGGCGCGCGTGGGGCCGTAGCGAGGGCGGCTACAATGCAGCCACGCCGCGGCTCCCGGCGCGGGGTGGGGGCGGGGAGCCGGGCACTGTGCGTGTTTGCAGAGCGGGGCTGCAGCGGGGTCGGGGGCGTGCTTGCGTGTGGGTGTGGGGGGTGGGCGGGCCCCGAGGGGCCCGCGCGGCCGGCAGGGGCGCCGCGGCCCGGGGCACGTTGGCTGCTGCTGGCTCGCCCGCCCGCGCCCGGGCGCTGTTTACTAGCGAGGCCTGGACGTGACTCTGCAGCCCTCTTGGAGTAGGCGGACCTCTGCGCGCGGCCTCGCGGGAGCTGTAGTTCTCCGTGTCCTGCGGGTGCAGCATTGTGGGATTTGTAGGCGCTCGTGGGCCACGCTTTCCCTGCACAAAGCTCGGTCCCCGCGGGCACGATGGGCAAGGCAGGCCAGGTGGGCAGGCCTTTTGGGGAGGGGACACCTGAGGCCGCCTCTAGTCTCGCAGGGCAGCTTCCCGCCGCACGTGGGTTTCCTCTGCAAACTTTCCCATCCAGCGCCCCTCCCCGCTGCCGTAAACCGAAAGCGTCCGGTCCTCCAGCTGGGTGGGTGGCCCGAGGTCCGCAGGCCTCCCCAGAAGCCACTTTGCAAGCTTGGTCCTAGGTTGCCCTAAATCCAAAGGGTGATGGATCCAAGGACCACACACAGCCAAACCGCCCCGGACACTTGTTAAAATGCACACGCCTGGAGCTCTGGTCGCTGGGGCCCGGATATCTGCATTTGAACAACCCGCCGGGCGGGGTGTTGGGGAGGTGTGCGTTCTTCGGCGTGCACAAGTTTGGGACCTGCGGCCCCTTTCCTGCCGCGCTGCTCCAGGAGCGAAATGGCTCCCCAGGGTTGGAGCCACGTGCTCTGCTGCCCAAGGCAGTCTGGGCGGGGATTGAGGGAGGAGGAGCCCGCCGGTGTGGCCCGGGCTGGTGGACACTAGCGGGTGCAGAATCCGGCCTGGAGGGAAGGTTGCTGTACACGTGTAGACACTCCCACCCAACCCTCTGACCCAAATGTCCCATCTTAAAGCTACTCTGAAGTTCCCAGTCAGTATCTGGACTTGGACCAGTTGAGGGGTCTGGCAGCCGGCAGGGATGCCCTCAGGGCTGGCCCTGGCACGAGGCCCACCTGGAGGGCCCAGTAATAAGTAAAAAAATATTCTTGAGCTTTTTTTATGTTCTGAGGGCTCAGTTTGCTAGAATTTTCTAAACGAGTTGTCATAATCTTTCTGTGAGTCACAAGTGTCTTGATTCCGTGTAAAGAGGAGGACAGAGAGACTAGGGAGGGGACCACCACAGCAAGTGGTGGAGCTGGAACTTCAGCCCTAATCCTGGGGTTGCAGGCTGCTGTAGGGCTGGGCTGGGCAGTGTGGAGGTGCGGTTGAGCCACTGTGCCTTCTGGGGAGGACATTCTGGGCCTGATCCTGGGCAGGGTGAGGGCAGAGGGGCCCTGAGTCCTCCTAGGGCCCCCTAAGATTCTGGCTTCACTTTATCACTGCCCCAAGACCCCCTTTGGAGGATGCCAGCAGTCCCCCAGGATAGCTGGATCTTGATAAGCCAAGGGCTTGACCCAGGGCCTTCGTCCAGGGTTGGGCACCGAGACATCCATTGTAAGACAGTTGTCAGCTGCACATTAGGCATGGAGTTGGGGGTGCCTGGATTTGTTTATGTTCAGTAGGGGCTGCAGGGTAAGGTAGTAAGCCCGTTGGGGATCAAATGTGTGTGTCAGGCAGGACCTTCTGGCCAGATGTATTTGCTTCTCTGGGTCATGTCAAGCTGGTGGGCTTTGCTTCATGCCTCAGTGACCAGCAGGGATTTCCCTGTCTTTCTGTCTCCCAGGCCTACGGGAGGGTACTGTAGGGCACAGTGACGTCCACGAACGCCGCAGGTTTAGACCCGTCGCCTAACGGTTCTCAGGCCCTGGAAAACAGATGCACCTGTGAAAATTAGCCATGGGTATGGGAAGTGCCTGGTAGCTTTTAAAATAACATTCAGGACTGGGCGTGATGGCCCACGCCTGTAATCCCAGCACTTTGGCAGGGCTGAGGCGGGCAGATCATGAAGTCGGGAGTTTGAGACCAACCTGGCCAATATGGTGAAAGCCCATCTCTACTAAAAATACAAAAATTAGCCAGCCATGGTGGTACGTGCCTGTAATCCCAGCTACTTGGGAGGCTGAGACAGGAGAATCGCTTGAATCTGGGAGGTGGAGGTTGCAGGGAGCTGAGATGGCACCACTACACTCTAGCCTAGGCAGTAATACGAGACTCCATCTCAAAAAACCAGACTGAATGTCTTTTTTTTTTTTGTGATGGAGTCTTACTCTGTCACCCAGAATGGTATGTAGTGGTGCTATCTCGGCTCACTGCAACCTCCCTGTCCTGAGTTCAAGTCACTTTCCTGCCTCAGCCTCCCAAATAGCTGGGATTACAGGCATGTGCCACCACACCTGGCTAATTTTATATTTTTAGTAGAGACAGGGTTTCACCATGATGGTTGACCAGGCTGGTCTTGAATCCCTGACCTCAGGTGATTCAGCCACCTTGGCCTCCCAAAGTGCTAGGATTACAGATGTGAGCCATCGTGCCAGGCCACTGACATTCAGAGTCTTAAAAGCAGGTATATGGCCAGGCGCGGTGGCTCACGGCTATAATCCCAGCACTTTGGGAGGCTGAGGCGGGTGGATCACGAGGTCAAGATATCAAGACCATCCTGGTCAACATGGTGAAACCCCATCTCTACTAAAGATACAAAAAATTAGCTGGGCATGGTGGCGCATGCCTGTAATCCCAGCTACTCAGGAGGCTGAGGCAGGAGAATTGCCTGAACCCAGGAGGCGGAGGTTTCGGTGAGCCGAGATCTCGCCATTGCACTTCAGCCTGGGTAACAAGAGCGAAACTCCGTCTCAAAAAAAAAAAAAAAAAAAAAAAAAGGCAGTTATATGGTGGTCTCCATCCGCATCGTGTTTTTTTTTTTTTTTTTTTGATGGCACCACTACACTCTAGCCTAGGCATGGTGTGTGCCACCATGCCTAGCTAATTTTTGTATTTTTAGTAGAGACAGGGTTTCACCATGTTGACCAGGATGGTCTCAATCTCTTGACCTTGTGATCCACCCACCTCGGCCTCCCAAAGTGCTGGGATTATAGACGTGAGCCACCGCACCGCACCCAGCCTTGTTTTTTTTTTTTGAGTCAGAGTCTCACTCTGTAGCACAGGCTGGAGTGCAGTGGCGTGATCTTGGCTCATGACAACCTCTGCCTCCTGCATTCAAGCAATTCTCCTGCCTCAGCTTCCTGAGTAGCTGGGATTACAGGCATAAACCACCGCTCTTGGCCTTTCTTGATCTCTTTTAAACTTCACCCTGACCTTGTGACATGAAGCAGTGTTTCATATTTTACAGATGGGGGAAACTGGGGCTTGGTGTTCCACAGCTAGAAAGTGGCAAGGCTGGACCTTTTGCTCTTGAGCCCAGTGCAGGATTCTCACTGATAGGCTGGAGGAGCTTTGGGGAAGGGAGGGAGGCTGGGATGTTTCCGATGGGAACAGCCTGGGCATGGTGTATTCTGGGACCAAAGGGAATGTCACCAGACTGGCCAGGTCAGAGTGCAGAGTATGGATGGGTAGTGTAGCAGCAGTGGGGATGGAGCATGGACGAGAACCTCGGGCTCATTAGGTGAGAGAAGGATGAGTGTCTTACTCCTTTTTTGGGTTTGGGAGAATCCCACGTGGATTACCTGCATTGACTGTGTCGACGTTAAGTGACTGAGGTGTGTAAGTTACTTCAGGGCAGTGTGAAATCAAAGTTCTCAGTGGCCAGTTTCAGGCTGGAACTGGGCAGGCAAGTGCAGAGGGACTGGGGGTACTTGGCCTTGGGCTGGGCAGGAGGGATAAATACCTGGCACAGATCTAGACTTGAAGGGCATGCCCCATGCCCCCAAGTGTCTGGTTGGGATGCCAGTGTCAGTCTTGTTAGATTTTGTGGGTGCTGCGGTGGTAGGGGTGGCGGCTCTGGCCTTAGCATCCAAGGCTGGTGCCCAAATTTTGTTCCTTGGCCATTGGCTGCTCAGTGACCTGCCTTATTCCTGAGTCTGGGGCAGCCCCAGGTTGGCTGCAGGAGGCTGGCTTGCCAGAAGTAAGAGAGCCTCGGTGTGGCAAGGCACAGTGGCTCATGCCTGTAATCCCAGCACTTTGGGAGGCCAAGGTGGATGGATCATTTAAGGTCAGGAGTTCGAGACCAGCCTGGCCAACATGGTGCAACCCTGTCTCTACTAAAAATACAAAAATTAGCTGGGCATGGTGGCGGGTGCCTGTAATACCAGCTACTCAGGAGGCTGAGGCATGAGAATCGCTTGAACTCGGGAGGCCAAGATTGCAGTGAACTGATATTGCACCACTGGACTCCAGCCTGGGAACAGAGCGAGACTTTGTCTTTGAAAAAAAAAAAAAATAGCCAGTTGTGGTGGCACACTCCTGTAATCCCAGCTACTCAGGAGGCTGAGGCATAAGAATTGCTTGAACCCAGGAGGTGGAGGTTGCAGTGAACTGAGCTTGCACCACTGGACTCTAGCCTGGGCAATAGAGCGAGACTCAGTTTCTAAATAAATAAATAAATAAATAAATAAATAAATAAATAAATAAAATAGAACCGTTGGGGTCAATGGACTTCTGCCACCTTTGATTCACACCTGTAGGAATCAAATGGACTTCTGCCACCTTTGATTCACACCTGTAGGAGTCTGAAGTGGCCAGGGAGAGGGTAGTGGATCTTTATTTACTGTGTGTGTAGGACCTTTATAGACCATAACCATAAATACAAAACCCCGAAAAAGCTATCAGAAACTTTTCAGGCATTTGCAGAAAAATCCACTTTATCCAGTGCAATATCACCTGGAAATTTCAATTAAACAACCTTCATCAACAGTAACCGCTGGTTGGTCAGCCATCGGCCGGGTTGGCCAGCATTCCACCAATAAGAATTCCTGGTTAGCCGGCACTCCACCAATCACAGCCCTTGGTTAGCTCCTATTCCACCAATCAGAAGCCCTGGTTAGCACGCATTCTATTAAAGGACTCTGTCGGCTGGTACTTCCAGGGCAATTTAGGTGAGTTATTAATTGAGGGTCTTGGTGGCAGATTCAGGTCCCCCACCAGGGACTGTAGCTTTGGGGTGAAATTTGCTTTATTGTTTTTTTTTTTTTTTTTCCTGAGACTGAGTTTCGCTCTTGTTACCCAGGCTGGAGTGCAATGGCGCGATCTCGGCTTACCGCAACCTCCACCTCCTGGGTTCAGGCAATTCTCCTGCCTCAACCTCCTGAGTAGCTGGGACTACAGGCACGCGCCACCATGCCCAGCTAATTTTTTTAATTTTTAGTAGAGATGGGTTTCACCATGTTGACCAGGATGGTCTTGATATCTTGACCTCTTGATCCACCCGCCTCGGCCTCCCAAAGTGCTGGGGTTATAGGCGTGAGCTTCCGGCCTGCTTTATTGGATTTAAGAAAGTGCTTAACCTAAGTTAAGCACTAGGTTAGCCAGCAGCTGTTTTCTGAGTCAGGAGACTGGGCTGATGGCTTTAGAGAGGACGGAGGCAGGAGAAGCTGTGCTGGCAGATTCTGGTGCAGAGGAGGAGGCGACACAGGCTCCTGATCCCAACCCCAGCACCTCTTCCTGTGGAACGTCCGGCTGGGGTTTTCGGGACTGGGCCTCCTTTGACCTCCCCAGTTAGTGGGCTGCCTTGTGGGTAAGGGAAAGAAGAGGCTGAGGGTCAGCTCCTAAGAGCAGAGTTGTTGGTGGGACTTGGGCCGGAAGGTGCAGGAGGGTGCATTTGTTCGCACCCTGCCCTGCCCTACTGCTGGGTGTGACCCTGGACAAGTCACTTGTGGGCTTGGTCCCGTGTGTGTTCAGAAGGGCAGGAGTGATGGCTGAGCCTGCAGTCACACCCCCTGCTTCTGGTAATTGGCGGGCTGTGTGAAGTAGGGGTCACTAGAGGCGCTTCAGTGGGTGGGGCAGGGGAGTTTTGGCGTCTACAGGTGCCTGCTGTGCCGGGTCTTGCTGCTTGACCTTGGGAGTATCACCTCCCCTCCCGGGACCCTACACTGCTTGCTCACTGTAATGTCAGCTGCCATTGGGTTTCTGTGAGAATCAGGCAGGGAAAAATGTGAACGAGGTCTGTGAATAATAAAAAGAGTTACACGATTACAGTGCTTTCTGAATGCCTGGTCCTTGGTTGGTTTTTTTTTTTTTTGAGACAGGGTCTCACTCTCTTGCCCAGGCTGGAGTTCAGTGACATGATCACAGCTCACGGCAGCCTCAACCTCCTGTGCTTATTCCATCCTCCCACCTTAGCCTCCTGAGTAGCTGGAACAATAGGCACATGCCACCATGCCTAGCTGATTTCTTAATTTTTTTTGTGGTAACGGGGTCTCACTATGTTGCCCAGGCTGGTCTTGAACTCTGGGGCTCAAGCGATCCTTCTGCCTTGGCCTCCCAAAGTGCTAGGGTTAGAGGTGTGAGCCACCGTGCTGGGCCTGGTCCTCTCTTTTACAGGGATAACTGTCATCTGCTGGTCGGGGCATCTGGCTCTGTGGGATGGTCAGCGCTCATTCTGCTCTATGGCCTGACACCTTCTCTGGGGTCAGGGTTCAAGTTCCAGCACTTGCTGCAGCTGATCCCTACCCAAGCCTCTGTGCCCCCCTCTTTACACAGGAGTCTTCAGGCCATCTGACTCAGGAAGACTGTGACAATTCAGTGAGAAAATTCTAGCCAAAAACTTAAAGAAAAGATGTGTTCCTCTGTTGTGCACCCTCCAGGAGGGCCAGCTCTCCCTTTTCCCCCCAGGTCCTGGTCAGCTCTGACTTTTGGACTTTGCCAGGAGGGGCCAGGGGCTGGGTGAGCAGGGGTCTCTCCCCACGTCTCTCCTGTGGGAATGGCGATGGCCCCAGATCGCACTTACCCTGTGTTGTGGCTTCCTATGGACATCTCTTCCCACTTCTTACCTGCAAAGAGCCCCAGCTTTAAGCCACCACTGCAGAGCAGTCCTAGTCCCCTTGGCCTGCTGGCCTCTCAGAGATGGTGTAGTCTGAGGCTGTGCCAGACCTGGGAGCCTGGACTCCACCCCAAGGATGGGCCACACACAGCTGTGCAGCAGGCCTACCCTGGTGCCCTTGTCACCCCCACTGCAGGCAGGGGAAGTGGGAGAAGAGGGCACTGACATCCAGCTGACTGACCCTCAAACCATGCCCCTCCCTGCTCTGAACCCTAAAGTCTCCCATGGAAAGTGGGGGGCCTGGGCCCCCTTTGCCACACTGACATTTCAAGGCCTTGTGAGTGACTTACACCCTGGGGACAGGCTGTGGGACTTTGGGTCCTCATGGAGGAGGGGCTTGGCTTGATGAGGCCGGAAGGAGGCTGATTTGCATCCAGGCTCCAGTCGCCCACCTCTCTGTTGGGAGAGGAAGCCCAGACCGAGGAAGGGGCAGGGATTTGTCCAGGGTCCCACAGGGAGCCAAGGCTGGACAGATGGGCAGGATGGGTGGGGCCAGGAAGGCCACGGCTGTTTCCAGCTGTTGGAGATGTGCTTTCTCCTTGGTCCGTGCAAACTCTTTTCCGCCTGCCCATTGGCGTAGGGGCCACAGCAGGGGAGTTAAGACTTGGCAGCCCCTTGACCCCAGACTGTCCCCGCCAATGGAGCAAGAGCTGCTCAGAGCCATTTCCCTGTTCTCCCAGATTCAAGGGCGTGAGCCCCTTGGCCCAGTCCTGGAACCCGGCACCCCGGGAGGGCCCCTCAGGAAGAGGCCGGGGCTGCGGCTTCGGGTGGGGCCGGCGGCCTCTGCTGGGAGCCCAGCATCTGGAAGCCATCAGGGCAGGGGCGGGGGAAGTTGCAGGGGAGGTCCAGGGAGGGAGACAGGCCTCCTCCAGGCCACACACAGGCCCAACCCTCGGGAGCGTGGCCTTGGGCCCACAACCGCTGCCTCTGCCCCATGGCCCGCAGCCCCGCCCTCTGGCGCGCACGCCCCGCCCCCGCAGGAAGCCCCGCCCTCTTCCCCAGGGCTGCCTTCTCACTCCACCGGCCGCTGCTCCTGCAAGGGTTAGTAGCGCTCCCCACAGCATGCTGGGAGCCTCGCTTCTCCGGCAAGGGGTGGGTCTGTCTCTTGGAGTGGGTGGGCTGCGGGGAGCACTGTCTGTAGGGGTTGTTGGCTGCGTGTCTTTTTGGGGAGTGAGTGGTATCTGTCTTGTCCTGAGTGAGGTGTGTGAAGTCTCAGCCTAGTGGGGCTGGGGCTTGTGGCTGGAGGCGTGGCCGTGAGGGTAGGAAGGGAGTGGGGACGTCTCCCTTAGTCCTGGGATTCAAAGCCTGAGACACTGAAGAGGCGCTCCAGGCGCCCAGCAGAGCGGGACAGCGTCGTCGTCCCTGACTGTCGGCGTCCCACGTGCATCAGAATCACACCATGCAGGTTTCTGGGCCCCACCAGGCCTGCTAGTCAGACACTGGGGCCAGCACCCGTCGTCTGCACAGTTTCTTAGCTCCTGGGTGTTTTGACGCTCACACTGGGAATTCTGTTGGGGAGGAGAAACTGCCCCCCGTGAGGGAAGCCAAGGAGGGGATGGGTTTTTGTTGTTGAGACAAGGTCTTACTCTGTTGCCCAGAAATGCACTGGCTCGATCATAGCTCCCTGCAGCCTCCACCTGTGGGCTCGAGCAGCCCTCCCACTTCAGCCTCCTGGAAGGAGTAGCTGGAACTACAGGCGTGCACCACCACACCTAGCTATTTTTGTTTTTTGTAGAGACAGGGTCTCAGTATGTTGCCTAGACTGATCTCAAACTCTTGGGTTCAATGATCCTTGGCCTTGATCTCCCAAAGAACTGGGATTACAAGTGTGAGCCACTGTGCCTGGCCCTCGCTGGGTTCTGAGCAGACTATCTTACCCTCAGCCAGCCTATTCAGTCCACCTGGGTGTCCCAGGAGCGCCCCTCCATCACCCTCTGGGGGTGGCCTGGCATCTTTTGCAGCAGGGGCGGGATGCAGGTTCTACTGGGACCCTCTGGAGATGAATGATGAAGAGGGCGCTTTGGCCAAGCCTGTTCCTGTCCTCTCTGGCAGCCTTGCCAACATTCCACTGACCCCAGAGACCCAGCGGGACCAGGAGCGGCGGATTCGACGGGAGATCGCCAACAGCAACGAGCGGAGGCGCATGCAGAGCATAAACGCCGGCTTCCAGTCTCTCAAGACCCTCATCCCCCACACAGACGGAGAGAAGCTTAGCAAGGTGGGTGAGAGCAGGGAGGGCTTCCCGGAGGAGGCGGCAGACTCCCTCTGGGAGAGGAAAGTGAGCTCTGGTAAACACTACCAGCTTGACGCTTGGCTTTTCCCTGCCTTCAGGCAGCCATTCTCCAGCAGACAGCCGAGTACATCTTCTCCCTGGAGCAGGAGAAGACCAGGCTCTTGCAGCAGAACACACAGCTCAAGCGCTTCATCCAGGTGCTCCCTCCCTGCCCCCCTTCCTGGCTCCCTCTCCTGGCATGGGCATCCCAGGACCCAACCCTGGGCCTGGGATGCAGGTATGGCTGCAGGCCCCTTCTTGCCCACTGGCAAGTACTTCAGGCACTTGTTTTCCTGCCCCAGCCTCAGTTTCCCCATCAGTCTAGTGTGGTGGAGTGGGCTCTGCAATGAGCCAGGTGACTGCTCCTGAACAGCAGCCCTTCTCCTGGCATTTGGCTGGTTTGTTGGACTTGCAGAAGGGGCTCCCTAATGAAGATCCACCTGTGTTGGGCAGCTTTGAGGGGCTGTGATGGAGCCCCAATCTCCGTGGTGGTGGTACCGAGGTGTCAGGCACACTGACCGACTCCTTGGGGTCCCCAGGAGCTGAGCGGCTCGTCCCCCAAGCGACGGCGGGCAGAGGACAAGGACGAAGGCATCGGCTCTCCGGACATCTGGGAGGACGAGAAGGCGGAGGACCTGCGGCGGGAGATGATTGAGCTTCGGCAGCAGCTGGACAAGGAGCGCTCGGTGCGCATGATGCTGGAGGAGCAGGTGAGGCAGCGCCCTCTGCTGGGCGCGGCGCGTGGTGCAGCGGGCGTGGAGCCTGGGGTCCCCCCTGTAAGGCTCTGCTACCCTTGGTTGAGCCCTATTTACAGGCGCACCTGCTGCGGTGCCAGGCTTAGGAGTGGGGAGCAAGCCAGACACGTCCCTGCCCTTGGGGGTAACCGTTTGCATCGCGGTGGGGGAGATTAGTCAAATGACCTAAAAAATGTAACCCTATGGGCTGGGTATGGTGGCTCACACCTGTAATCCCAGCACTTTGTGAGGCTGAGGTGGGAGGATCACTTGAGCCCAGGTGTTTTGAGACCAGCCTGGGAAGCGTAGTGAGATCCTATCTCCACCAAAAAATATGTGAAAATTAGGCAGGTGTGGTGGGGTGTGCCTGTGGTCCCAGCTACTCAGGAGGTTGAGCTGGGAGGATTGCTTGGGCCCAGAAGGTGGAGACTGCAGTGAGCGGTGATCGCACAATGGCACTCCAGCCTGGGTGACAGTGACACCCTGTCTTAAAAAGCTAGGTGTGGCCGGGCGCGGTGGCTCACGCCTGTAATCCCAGCACTTTGGGAGGCCGAGGCGGGTGGATCACGAGGTCAAGAGATCGAGACCATCCTGGTCAACATGGTGAAACCCTGTCTCTACTAAAAATACAGAAAGTTAGCTGTATTACAGGTGGCGCGTGCCTGTAATCCCAGCTACTCAGGAGGCTGAGGCAGGAGAATTGCCTGAACCCAGGAGGCGGAGGTTGCGGAGAGCCGAGCTCGCGCCATTGCACTCCAGCCTGGGTAACAAGAGCGAAACTCGGTCTCAAAAAAAAAAAAAAAAAAAAAAAAGCTAGGTGTGGTGGTGCACATCTGTGGTCCCAGCTACTTGGGAGGCTGAGCTGGGAGGATGGCTTGAGCCCAGGAGGTGGAGGCTGCAGTCAGCTGTGATTGTGCCACTGCACTCCAGCTTGGGTGACAGAGGGAGACCCTGTCTCAAAACAAAAACCAAAAACAAAGCACTTAATCATGATGAAGGCCAGGCTGGAGCTGTGGCATCCGGAGTGGGTTTGACCTGGTTTTCCAAGTGATGCCCCATGGCTTCTCCATGGAAGTGGGAGGTTGAGTCTCATAATTAACCAAAGGGCAGAGAAGGGTGTTCTCGACAGAGGGAACAGCATAGGCAAGGGCTCAGACAGGAGGAAGCATGCTCCAGTGGTACAGTGGAGGCTGAGGTGGGAGGTGAGATGGGGCAGGGGCTGAAGGTCTCTGGAAATGCTCTGGCCTCTGTTGAGTGGGGCCCGCCTCGTGGTAGGGTTTTCAGCAGGAGTGAATGACCTGCTGTGGGACTGACAGGGCAGGGTGTGCTCCCAGGCCTGCCCCTGAGCCGAGGCTGTCCTGCCTCCAGGTGCGCTCGCTGGAGGCCCACATGTACCCAGAAAAGCTCAAGGTGATTGCGCAGCAGGTGCAGCTGCAGCAGCAGCAGGAACAGGTGAGGCTGCTGCACCAGGAGAAGCTGGAGCGGGAGCAGCAGCATCTGCGGACCCAGGTGAGCAGGAGGTGCCTGGGAGCAGGCTCTGGGGATTGGGCGGGGGCGGGGGATGTTGGATGGCTGGAAGCCTCTCTTTAGTCCATCTCATCTCTGTTTCTTAACATAAAGGGGGCGGGGGAGTTATATACCGGCTGGCCCTGCATGAATAAGGGAGGGATGGGCCGGGAGAAGCCTTAAGGAAAGGCTGAGGGCTTCTGTCTTGCAGCTCCTGCCCCCTCCCGCCCCCACCCACCACCCCACAGTGATCGTGCCGGCACCGCCTCCCCCTCCCTCCCACCACATCAACGTTGTCACCATGGGCCCCTCCTCAGTCATCAACTCTGTTTCCACATCCCGGCAAAATCTGGACACCATTGTGCAGGTACCTGGGCTCAGGAAAGGGGCAGCTTATAGGAGTCATATGCTGGGAACAGGCTCTTTAGACTAGAAAATGAGGAGCGGTAGAGGAGGAAGATGGTGCTTGGGTGGGAGGGGGTGGAAGGCCGGAAGCCTTGGGGGCTCCCTCCCTGGATCTGCAAGTGGAGAATATGAGGGCCAGAGACCTGGGCAGGGCCTACTTGTCAGGAGGGGGTTGGCCGGGAACAGGGTCCTTTCCCACAGTGTGGGTTTTCCAGAGAGGGTCCTTTGCTCCCAGAGTCCCCTGGTTACAGAGTTGCTGCATCCAGCCCCGGGGCTGGTCGAAAGCATTGTCTCACCTCCATCCCCGAGGACCTGGATGGGGATACAGGGGTCAGGGCTGTGTGTGACAGTTGGGCCTCCTATAGAGGAGGAACTCTGTAGCTCAAGCCTGAAGGTATAGTTGCACTCAGCCTTGAACAAGGCCCCTTGAGGGACCCAACCTCAGAAATCAGTAATAAGTAAATAAATAACCCAACTTGGCTGGGCTTGGTGGCTCACGCCCGTAATCCCAGCACTTTGGGAGGCCGAGGCGGGTGGATCACGAGTTCAAGAGATCGAGACCATCCTGGTCCACATGGTGAAACACGTCTCTACTAAAAATACAAAAGATTAGCTGGGCATGGTGGCGCGTGCCTGTAATCCCAGCTACTCAGGAGGCTGAGGCAGGAGAATTGCCTGAACCCAGGAGGCGGAGGCTGCAGTGAGCCAAGATTGCGCCATTGCACTCCAGCCTGGGTAACAAGAGCGAAACTCCGCCTCAAAAATAAATAAATAAATAAATAAATAAATAACCCAACTAAAAAAGCAAGACAAGAAAAAAAATCCATCAATCTCCCTGAATTTCAGTTGCTCATAAACCTTGCAAATTGCATAATGCAATTAATAGCAAAGGCCTTTAATAAGTTAATAGGCAACCTTTAAAATATACAAACATGGCCGGGCGTGGTGGCTCAAGCCTGTAATCCCAGCACTTTGGGAGGCCAAGGCAGGCGGATCACGAGGTCAAGAGATTGAGACCATCCTGGCCAACATGGTGAAACCTCATCTCTATTAAAAATACAAAAAAATTAGCTGGGCATAGTGGTGTGCGCCTGTAGTCCCAGCTACTTGGGAGGCTGAGGCAGGAGAATTGCTTGAACCCGGGAGGCGGAGGTTGCAGTGAGCCGAGATTGTGCCACTGCACTCCAGCCTGGCTACAGAGTGAGACTCTGTCTCAAAAAAAAAAAATATATATATATATACAAACATATTCCAGGGAGGCTCACGCCTGGAATCCCAACACTTTGGGAGGCCAGTGGGCAGATCACTTGAGGTCTAGGATTTGAGACCATTGTGGCCAACAGGATGAAACCCTGTCTCTACCAAAAATAGGAAAATTAGCCGGGCATGGTGGCGCACATCTGTAATCCCAGCCATTCGGGAGGCTGAGGCAGGAAAATCACTTGGACCTGGGATGCGGAAGTTGCAGTGAGCTGAGATCACAGCACTGCACTCCAGCCTGGGTGACACAGTGAGACTCTGTCTCCAACAAACACAACAAACTTACATATATGAAAGAAACATAATTTCTAAGCAGCACTGGGATTGTTTCTCCCCAGAATGGATGTTTAAGTTTAACGGAAGAGTTTTGAAAGTCTGTTCCCGGGCTGGGCATGGTAGTTTACGCCTGTAATCCCAGCACTTTGAGAGGTTGCGGCAGGAAGATTGCCTGAGGTCAGTTTGGAAAACATAGCAAGAACCCCCTCCTCTCTACTAAAAATACAAAAGTTAGCTGGAGATGGTGGTGCACTCCTGTGGTTCCAGCTATTAGGGAGGCAGAGGTAGGCGGATCGCTTGAGCCCAGGAATCTTGAGGCTGCAGTGAGCTCCGATCGTGCCCACTGCACTCTTGCCTGGGTGATATAGTGAGATCTTCTCTCCCAAAAAAAAAAAAAAAAAAGGAAAAAGTTTGTTTTTCGTCGGGTCTGGCGGGCCTAACCTACTGCTCTGCAAGGCTTATTTCTAGGATGTGTGTTCTGGGGGAGACAGTGGCTGGCTGAGGGCCCCCACTGCCTCCTAGCTGGCTGTGTGTCCCTGGCCGAGCCTCCTCATTGGCTCATCCCTGTCCAGGCAATCCAGCACATCGAGGGCACCCAGGAAAAGCAGGAGTTGGAGGAGGAGCAGAGGCGAGCTGTCATCGTAAAGCCGGTCCGCAGCTGCCCAGAGGCCCCCACCTCTGACACTGCCTCCGACTCTGAGGCCTCAGACAGTGATGCCATGGACCAGAGCCGGGAGGAACCGTCAGGGGACGGGGAGCTTCCCTGACTACCCCCCCAGCCCTCCTCTCCCTTCTGGGGGCTCGAGGGAGCCGGGGCAGCCACAGGAAGAGAGGAGGGTGAATGAGTGAGAAATTTTTACAAAATTACAATGTTATTTGGGTCTCTTTTATGACCTCTTTTTCAATACTGTAAATCAACCTTTGAACGAAGCCACTCAACCCGAGGTCCCAGGGCTGGGGTGGCTCAGAGCGTGTGGGAGCATCGGGACCCCAGGGCTGGGCCTCGGCCCCGGGGGCTGGGGGAAGCTGACACAGAGGTGCCTGCCTCTCTCTGCCAAAAAGCATTTTTTCCTTTAAACATGTTTTTTAAGAACAGGGAAAATCAAACAGAACCCCAAGTTATTTCTTCCCTGCCCAGAGCCAGCCTGGGATTGTCAGTCTTCATCCCCTTTCCCTCCTCTTTTTGGGTTTTCTTCTTTCTCCTTCAAGCACTTACATGGGTTGGGGGTCAGACTGGGCTGGGGCGTTCTGGGGGCCCAGGGGTCTCCGTTGCTTCTTGGTTGGGGTTTGCTGCTGCTCTGCTCCCCTCCCCCTCCCCGTCTCGGCACTAGAATTCTCCACTCTCCCACCCCCCAGCCTCCACCTCTGCCTCCGGGTCTCATCTTCCACCCCAAAAATGTCTTCGTCTCTTTCCTTTTGTTTTGTTTGTTGTTGGTATTTTGCTTTCTGTTTTTGTTATGTTTTTCTTTTTTTTTTTTTTTTTTTTACAATTTTGAGGTCTTCGTGTTCAAGGAGAAGCTATTATATTTTGTTAAGAAAGTGGGGAGAAAAAACCAAGAGGCCACCGTGCCTTTGTAAAGAAACAAAATAAAGTTTGTACTTTGTTTTTTAGATTCTGAGTCTCCTAGGTGTGGGCTGGCCTGAAGCCCCGGGCTCGGCTACCTTGTCTGGAGTAGGGGCCTCCTTGGGCCCTCCAAAGGGAACAGGGTGTGTGTGAGCACAGTAACTCCCTCAGCTTGTGTGCTGGGATGAGAAATTGGAGTCCTCAGGTTTCCTGGGATTACTCTTGAGTATTCTGTGAAGATGGAAGATGTGCCAAGCACGGTGGCTCACACCTGTAATCCCGGCACTTTGGGAGGCCAAGGTGGGTGAATCATGAGGTCAGGAGATTGAGACCATCCTGGCCAACATGGTGAAAGCCGTCTACTCGAAATACAAAACTTAACTGGGCATGGTGGCTGTAGTCCAGCTACTCGGGAGGTTGAGGCAGGAGAGTTGCTTGAACCCTGGAGGCGGAGACTGCAGTGAGCTGAGATTGTGCCACTGCACTCCAGCCTGGGTGACAGAGCGAGCCTGTCTCAAAAAAAAAAAAAAAAAAAAAAAGGGAAGGGGCCCAGCGTGGTGGCTCACACCTGTAATTCCAGCACTTGGGGAAGCTGAGGCGAGTGGAATATGAGGTCAAGAGATTGAGACCATCCTGGCCAACATGGTGAAACTCCGTCTCTACTAAAAATACAAAAATTAGCCGGGTATGTTGGCAGACACCTATAGTCCCAGCTACTCTGGAGGCTGAGGCAGGAGAATCACTTGAACCCGGGAGGTGGAGGTTGCAGTGAGCCTGGAGACAGAGCGAGACTCCATCTCAAAACAAAAATGTGGAAGATGGCATTGGGGTTGGGGAGTGGCTCTTTGGTGGGAGGTGTGGAGAGAAAGAACAAGCAAGCCACTGATTCCAAACGCCAGGAAAAGGACACAGGTGGTCAGGGGCCCTGCTTGATCCCCAGGCTTTGGTTAATTCCTAGATTTTGCCACTTCCTGGGCTTGTATAACTTCTCTGAACCTCATCCTCTCTAGAAGGGGAACCCCACCACCCTCCACCTCCCCCTCCCCTACCCCACCGTGGTATGGTGTTCAAGTGCTCGGGTCCTGGAGTTGGTCTGCCAGAGGTCAGTTCCACCTCTGACAAACCACTTCCTCTGAGCCTCAATTTCCTCTTCTCAAAATTGGTAATAATAGTACAAGGGTATTGTATCCTACTGGGGATCGGTGTGGTTCTTTATTTTATTGTTAGTTTTTGAGACAGAGTCTCTGTTGCCCAGGCTGGAGTGCAGTGGTGTGATCTGGGCTCACTGCAACCTCCACCTCCTGGGTTCAAGCGATCCTCCTACCTCAGCCTCCCAAGTAGCTGGGACTATAGGTGTGCACTAACATGCTCGGCTAATTTTTTATATTTTTAGTAGAGACAAGGTTTCACCATGTTGGCCAGGCTGGTCTCAAACTCCTGACCTCAAGTGATATGCCCATCTTAGTCTCCCAAAGTTCTGGGATTATAGGCATGAGCCACCACACCTAGCTATTTTAAAATTTTTATTATTTTTATGTGAGATGCAGTCTTGCTCTGTCACCCAGGCTGGAGTGCAGTGTTTTGATCACAGTTCACTGTAACCTTGACCTCCTGGTCTGAAGTGATCCTCCCACCTCAGCCTCCCTAGTAGCTGGGACTACAGGCCTTTACCACCAAGCCTGGCTTTTTTTTTTTTTTTTTGAGATAGAGTCTTGCTGTGTTGCCCAGGCTGGAGTGTAATGATACGATTTCAGCTCACTGCGACCTCCACCTCCCAGGGTCAAGTGATTCTTCCACCACAGCCTGCCACGTGGCTGGGACTACAGGCACCTGCCATCATGCCCAGCTAATTTTTGTATTTTTAGTAGAGAAGGAGTTTCACCATGTTGTCCAGGCTTATCTTGAACTCCTGACCTCAGGTGATCCGCCTCCCAAAGTGCTGGGATGACAGGGGTGAGCCACCATGCCTGGCCAGCTAATTTTTTTTGTATATTATTGTAGCGACAGGGTTTTGCCATGTTGTCCAGGCTGGGCCATGATCCTTTAAATCTTTCAGTCTTCCGTGGCTAGAGATCGATTTACGCCATGGTCCTCTGCTATGCCTCATGCTCATGGTGCTGGGTGCTTGAGGACTGAGGCCAGAGTAGAAGGCAGTCACAGCTCACCCCATGATGACATGGACATGAACTCTTTTAACAGAAAGGAGCCTGCAGAGTTTCCTGGAATTTTACAGTGAACAATTCAATGGCACTTAATACAATTAGTGTTACACAGCCTACCTGGTTCCAAAACATGTCCATCACTCCAAAATGCCTCCGTTAAGCACTCCTTCCCCCTCCTCCCAGTCTCCGGCAACCACCTATCTGCTTTCTGGTTTTAATATCTTTTTTTAAAAAGTTCAAGTAGTTGGCCAGGCAAGGTGGCTCACACCTATAATCCCAGCACTTTGGGAGGCCAAGGTAGGTGGATCACATGAGGTCAGAAGTTTAAGACCAGCCTGGCCAACATAGTGAAACCCTATCTCTACTAAAAATACAAAAATTAGCTGGGCTTGGTGGTGCTCGCCTATAGTCCCAGCTACTGGGGAGGCTGAGGCAGGAGAATCACTTGCCCCCAGTAGGTAGAGATTTCAGTCAGCCAAGATGGAGCCACTGCACTCCATCCTGGGCAAGAGAGCAAGAATTTGTCTTTAAAAACAAATTAATAAAAAAGTAGTTACATTTAGTAAAACTCAAACTTTCTGGTTTTTGGTTTTGCGTGTTTTGACAAATGCACAGTTTCCTATACACCACTATGATCAAGATACGATTTTAAAAAGAATAAAAGGAAAGCAAAATTAAAAAACAAAAAGATATGAATTGGTTCCTTTATCTCCAATGTCCCCCATGCCCCTTGGTGTTTAATTCAGCCCATAAGAGCCACTGATCTAATTCTCTGTTGCTGTAGTCTTACCTGTGACAACATGTCATGTAAATGGAATAATCCACTCTTTTGAGTCTGGCTTCTTTGCACTGCAGCTAATTTTCTCTTAGTGAGATTATCCAGGTAAATTTACATAGGATCTGGCCCGGCACAGCGACCCCTTTCGGCCAGGTGCGAAACGGCAGGCCCGACGGTTCCCGCGCAGCTTCTAAGGTTCAACAGAGGGCGCAGTGCGCCCAGAACGCCCAGCCCCTGCGAGAGCGAAGGCTCCTCTCTGTCGGTGCGGGACAGCCCAGTTCTCATAGGTCAGAGGCGTGGCTTGGGGGCGGGCCACCCCGCCTCCCCCGACTTGCCCAAGCGCGCCCGGGGATGGTAGGCGGTCTCACCCGCAGGCGGCGGAAGTCAGGGGCGCGGCTGCGGCCCCGCCTTTTCCCGGACTCGCCCCGCCCCTTCGCTCGCGCGCTTGTTTCCTGACGCCTCAGGCCAGGGCGGGCGCGCTCCCGCCACCATGGTCGTCTTGCCCCGCCCTCTTCCCCGCCCCCGCGCCTAACGCCCGCGCGCTCTCACGCACGCCCCGCGCGCAGACGCCGCCGGCGCGTTTCCTGCCCACCCTGGGAACAGGTGGTTACGGCACCCGGGTACGGAGTTTGCGCTGAGGAAAGGTTCTAGACGCCACCGTAAAAAAAAAAAAAAATCGAGAAACAGGTGACAGGATTTTTCGTAAGACGTTTAATTTTTACCCAAAGTATCCGAGACATTGCCGTGTCAGGCTGAGTGCGATAGGTGACTCCCGGCCTCAAGGAGCTCGGGCCCGCGGAAGAGGAGGCCCCCGCGCCGGGCCGGGAGGTCGGACTTGACGTTTTTGTGAAGCACAGGGGGCGTGGGACGGACCGGATCAATGCGACACTCAACAGAACCTGTTCTTAAAAGGGTCCTGCTGTGTCGCGTAGGGTGGAGTGTAGGGTGGTGCGTAGGGTGGTGCGATCTCGGCTCACTGCACCCTTTACCTCCCGGGCTCAGGCGATCCTACCGCCTCAGCCTCCGGAGTAGCTGGGACCACAGGCACACGCCACCAGCTCGGCTAATTTTAATTTTTTCGTAGAGACGGGCCTCAGCATGTTGTCTAGGCTATCGTGGAACTCCCGACCTCAAGCGATCCTCTTGCCTTAGTCCCCAGAGTGCTGAGATTACAGGCGTGAGCCACTGCTCTGGGGCCAGAAGCCTTTTATTGGCGTACTAGGTAACAATTTCAGAAGAGGGTGCATAGCTTAGGCTCTCCCTGAATTTTCACAACTGGACATACACCCACGTAGCCGGCGACCCTAGCAAGCCCCAGAAGTGGCCTAATGCTTGCTTTCTGCCGCTAGCCCGCAAGCAGTTTGTTGTCTTTCAGATTTTTAATTTTTGAAATAATTGTATAAATGTACAGGGTTGGTGGTTCTAGCCTGTAATCCCAGCTACTTGAGAGTCCGAAGGGGCAAGATGGCTTTAGCCCTGAATATCTGGATCACCCTGGACAACATAGCAAGACTTGATCTGTATTTTCTTTTTTTTTTTGTGACAGAGCCTCTGTCACCCAGGCTGGAGTGCAGTGGACTTCCGCCTCCTAGGTTCAAGCGATTCTCCTGCCTCTGCCTCCTGAGTATTTGGGATCATAGGTGTGCGCCACCACAGCCACCTATTTTTTTTTTTGTATTTTTAGTAGAGATGGGTTTCACCATGTTGGCCAGGGTGGTCTCAATCTCCTGACCTCATGATCTGCCCACTTTGATCTTCCAAAGTGCTGGGATTACAGGCGTGAGCCAGGAGCCCAGGCTGTTTTTTTAAAGCAAGCTGTATAGGGAGATCACCCAGTCTCCCCCATGTTAACATCTTGCATAACTACAATTAGCATAGAAACCAGGTAATTGACATGGGTACTGTACATGGAAGTTATTCAGATTTACCCATTTTTTATGCTTTATGTGTATGTGTGTGTAATGATCTATTCTCTACCATTTTTATGAGAGTTCCAGTTGCCTGGATTCTCACCAGCACTTAGTATTGTCAGATTTAACATCATTTAAGCATTCTGGTAGGTGTATGGTGGACTCACACCATAGTTTTAATTTCTTCTCCTTTTTTT